AAATATGTTGTAAGTTGCAGCAGGTTACTGAACTTTAAAAAAAATGCTTATGAAGGTCGGTTTCGAAGGCAGAGGTCGGTCTCGAAGGAGGACGCTGAAGGTGGAGGTCGGTCCGATGGTCTCGATTAATTCTAGGAGGCGGACGCCGGAAGCAGAGACTAAAGTCGGTCTCGATTCTCGAAGGCGGATGCCGAAGGTGGAGGCCGTAGGAGGAGGTCGGTCTCGATTATCGTTGGTGGAGGCCGGAGGAGGAGGTCGGTCTATCGCAACAAGGAACCCTAATTTTCTTCCGGAGGAGACGCGGGCCTGAGACTGAGAGGCGACAGATGTGTGTGTGGAGGCGAGGGTTTGGACTTCAGTGTGTCTTTGTTTTTAAAGAGATGCATTTAACGGTTCAGATTTAATTTGAAGATTTCACTTCATCTTGACCCTTCAATAATATATATATATATATAATATTATTATTATTTTTTTATAAATTAGGCGGGCCAGCCCGTGGGTTTGCCGGCCCCGCCCCAGCTCGCGGCCTGCGCGGGTCTAGGAAAACCAGGCCTAACCCGTCCTTTTTGCGGAGCGGGGCGGGACGGGCCGCGGGCCTTCTTTACTGCTCTACTCACAAGTGATGGGGCGTATTAGAATATTACTTGTGAGTTGTCCACGTTGCTTCTATTGGAAAAATAGACCTAGCTTATAAACCTAGTGGGCTACTCCTCCATCGCCAATTGGTTTTGAGATGGAACCTCATTAAGGTGCACCTAGAATCACCTCTTATGGTGCGCTTCACGTGATGGGAACGACCTGTTTCCCTCGATTCTGTCAGGATAAAGAGAGTTATCGCAAGTCCTAGGTCAAGTCCGCTATGATATCATGAAAGAATCGAAGAAAATGGATGTGGTCCCATGCACGTGAAACGCACTATAAGAGGCTGAGCCTAGGTGCACCTTAGTAAGGTTCCATCTCAAAACCAATTTGCGATGGAGGAGTAGCCCACTAGGTTTACAAGAGACGCTCATTTTTTATATAGAAGTAATATGGGACAACTCAGAAGTGATATTCTAATACGCCCCATCACTAGAGAAAGCTGCAATCAATACGGTTTCCCTAATCTCCCTTCCAGAAAGGAAGAATATAAAGCAAAATTTTGGTTAATGAAAAACAAGCCAGCGCTATCCGGTGGTATCCTTGTGAAGCATCCATCATACTAAGGTGACTTCAATATCTTAATCGATACGGTGGTCGTGAGACAAAAAGCTATGTGAACGTACTGTATTGGTAAACCATTAGTGCTTCTCCCTTATGGTCACAAGTAAGCTACGCGAAGCTCTTTTTAGCTGTTGCTCGATTTCACGTCTCAAGCCACTGGGTTTAGACATTACTTCGGTGCTCCTTAATCTTTTCAAAAGGTGTGAGTCCTTCATACAAAGCCCAAGCCCACAGAGCAGGCCGAGTAAAGAGTACGTCATCGCAGGTCCTAGGTCAGGCCCACTCTGATACTATAAAGGAATTGGGGGAAACCGGTGCGGTCTCATGCACGTGAAGCGCACCATAAGAGGGTGAGTCTAGGTGCACCTTAGCTAGTTCCATCTCAAAACCAATTGGCATTGGGAAGAGCAGTCTACTAAGTTTATAACCTAGACTCATTTTTCCTGTAGAAGCAATGTGGGATAACTCACCGGTGATATTTTAATACTTTTATTATTTGCATATTAGATTTGGTAGGCAATTTTATTTATTTATCATATTCCATTTTCTGTTAGGCAAGTTACTTACTTAGGCTTTTTAGGAATTATATATATAAGACTCATCTCATATTGTTTTGTTTGGTTGGTTTTGATTGAATAAAAATATATTCGAGAGTTTTCTTTTCAAATCTCAGCAGAACAGTACTATTCATATACGATGTCGCCTAAACAGAATGATGCTGCCGAATATAGGCACAACACCATGATCGAGCCGTTGGGGCGCCAGGTCGCAGATCTAACCGCGAGTCTCGAGGACATCCAACTGCTCTACAAGTCACTGCACACTGCGTCGTACAAACCGCGCGCCGGACGGCATATGTGGCGGCCGCGGGAGGTTCGTGGTGGACGCGGTCGGGGTACTCACCGGGGACCCCGCTCCTGATTGCCTCTGGCGTTCTTACTGACGTAGCGAAAACATAAACGATAGCGAGAAATAAAGAGAAACTCTCTCAATATGTTTTATTCCAATCGAAATTCAAGTCTCTACAAACAAAAGAATATGAGTCTTAAATAAATCTCCTATCAACTCTAAACAAATAGCTTATCTTCTAAGAAAATGACTAGAATATATATCTTTCCTATAATTAAATATACTTCCTATCAAAACTAGAACTAATAATAATATAATAAAATAAAACAAATAAATTAATTAAACCAATGATGTCAAAATGATCATACTTGTCTAATACTATACTTCCTACCTATAAGCTTGATTACTTCTTGCTTATCTGGCCCCAGTTATTCCATTTTTGAATGATCGAATTTGTGGATCGTAACTTTATGCCCATTATATTAAGAGCATCTTTAATAACAAACCTCTATAAACCTCTTTTTACACTTCCCAATATGGCACATCATCCAAAACTCTATTCTTACTCTTACACCCATAAACTTCAAATAACAATAAACCCCATAAACCTCATTTTTATGGGTCCCACATGTTTCACACTTACTTTTAATCATTAATATTATACTTTTATATTTTTATTCAATCTAAAATTTTATATATTTTACCGATAAAAAAATTATATTGCATTATTTATAATTATAAGAGTTAATTACGTACCTATGTAAAATTGTACTTAAAATAAATTTTTACTTCAAATAAAATTATACATTCATATTTGTATTCATATTTTAATAATAATTTTACTATTTTTAATTAACAATAGTG